GTTCCTCATGGTGAGAAGGTTCCGAAAAGGTGAAAAACTGGAAATCGAAATTCTGCCGAGCGCTGCCTTTAAGCCGTAACACCTTTGTCGGCATAAAAAAATTGTTTTGAGGGCCACGTTCTTGTCCTGGAGCTCCGATGGATGATCGAAGTTACCGCAACAGCATGAGCGGAAGCCAACGCGGAAAACCGTTCAATGACAGATACTCGACGATGAACAGCTCGCTGCGGTACGAAAATGTAGGCAGGAAAAGAAATGAGTAAGTTACCTTGTGAATTTGTGTCCTGTATCTTATATTGGTCCATTCGCATTCTAGAATATATCACCACGAAACTATTCTTGAATACGGAAGTGAAAGCGCAAATTCCAGTCGAGAGAGCCCTCCAGACCGTCAAAGTAGAAAAGAAATGGTAATGATTCTCTCTTTTCCGATATTTTTGACGTTTTCTTTTATTCTTTGAACAATTTTTTGTACATTTCTGCATCTATTGTTAAATTCATTAAAAAAATATTCTTGCAGGCGAGAAGACAAAATCATCGCTATTATAGTAGCGCTCTTACGGACTCAACGGACGACGACGATGGGGCTAATATGCAGATTGTGAGTAGACGCCGGCATCTTTTTTTTCTTCCTTTCTTTTTTCTCTTCTTGGCCTTCGTAGTTAACTTTTATTCGTACATTTCAGCTTCAACTAGAAGCAAAACTCAAAAGAGCGAAAGAGCTAATACGCTCAACTAGAAGAGACATGACGGAAAGAATCGAGGAATTGCAGGATGAAATTGATCGTAAAAGGTAAGTTTTTAATTTCGCCATAATCACTTCTTTGTCTGCACATAAAGTTTTATAATTTTGTTTTTATAATCTCTTGTTTCGTTGGTGACGAAATTCCGAGTCTTTTTTACAGTCGAGATTACGATACGCTTAAGTGGCACTATAAACAGGCTCGAAAAGCTATTGAGGATGAGCGCAAAATCAATGCTAGACAAAGCAAAAAACTTCAACAAGCACTGGAAGAAGTGGTTGGTGTTTTTTTCTAGGCATGCTCTTTCATTTCTTCTAACTGCTGTTATGTCCCGCTTCCAGTCACGATTGAAAGCTATGCTTACGGAGCACTCAGACGATAATTCGTTTCTGATTCCTTATTGCGGTGGTTTGCCACCAATGGGCTATGATAGCGGCGCTGGGGAAGCACTTTGTTCCTTGGCTGAAGCCCAA